CTTATTCATTTCACTTCACGTGGATAAATGCCCAGAGATGCATTGCTGGTCATATGGTGTCTTGCCTTCACAGAAAGTTGCAGGCTGTTTTCAGAAGGGTGGCACCTTCTCACACTCCCATGTCACTGCCAGAACCAGTTACTCCTCATCCTCTCCAATAGTTCATCTTGCTGGGCATCCTAAGCCCCTAATAGTTGCCTCCTCATTATGGTTTTAATTTGCTTTCCCCTAGTGATCTTTTAAGCTGCTTGCTTTTCATCCATAGACCTTCTATTGGTGAAGCAAAGAAGCAAAGAAGCAGTGCTCTGGGCTTTTTTTTCTCTCTCTTTCTGACTTTTTTTTTGTCTTTTGCCCATTTTTTTAAAAAAGATTTATTTATTTATTCATACAGAACTGGGGTACAAGCCAGAGATGCGGAGGGTAAGAGGATTCACCAGAGACAGAGTGGGGAGCAAAACAGGCAGATCGATGAAACACACTGCTGAGGGGAGCAGCGGGCGGGTCAGGAAAGGTCTGCCATGCCATGTGGATCTCCTCCAGGGCGGGCAGGGATGGAACTCATGCTGATGTGGCTTTAGCTTTTTAGTGCTGTGCTTTAACCCGGTGCACCACCAAGGAGGGCCCTGTCTTTTGCCCATTTTATAATTAAGTTCTCTTTCTACTGAGTTTTGAGATTTCTTTACACAACCTAGATATAAATCCTTGGTCAGTAGTTATACTTTGTTTTCTTAGCAGTGAAAAGAAGTTCTTAATTTTGATGATTCTTCCATCTTTTCACTAATGGTTTTGCTTTTGATATCATTTCTACAAAATCTTTGCTTAACCCAAGATCATGAAACTTTCCTCCTATATTTTTCTCTAAAGTTTTGATAATTCTCCATTCAAATGTAGCCCCTTGCCCGCAAGCCCCCTCGTCCATGAACTGTTCTGGCCTCTTCCCAGCAACACATCCAAATTTCACCAGCACACAGCTTTCCCATCACCCAGGCTTCATTCACGGGTCCCCAACTCTACTTGTGAACATAATCTTGCTGCCTTGCTCAGTGGCCCTGTCCTTGGCCCGAGTCATACAGATGCTATTTGCCCAGATGCCTGCCCACTGGTCTCCTCTGATCACCTCTACTCTCCCTGGACACCCCCTCCTCCTCCCACCTAAACACCATGATCCCCAGCAGCGCTGTGCTTTCCTGTATACACAAGACCCGGATTCCATGCCATGCTTTCCCCTCCAGTGTCCTCTGTGCTTCCGGTATTTCTTGGCCAGGATCAAGTTGTCTACACCAGCTCCTCACTGACAAGAGCACATCTCTAATGTTGGTGTCCTTTCCCTTTGCTCTACCCTGGTTACCACTTGGTGATTCCAAGTAGCGGAATTCAACATCTTCCCAGGGCCTTTCTGTGCCACCACAAGGCTCTGCCCAAGCCCTCGGGGAGCTGTTCTTTGCCCGTTAACACTGGGTTTTCCCTGAGTATTTCCCACAGTTAGTTTCCATTGTTTTTCTTGACTAGATGACATCTTTCCTTGATGACAACAACTATTTTTAAATTACGAGTACTCTCTTTTATGCTATCATTGTGTGTAATGGGATTATTACGGACTTACATTGTATTGTGACTGTCTACCAGAAAACAATGATCACATTGCAATTCTGATCCTGTTTGTTTTGTACACATGCTACCATTTGTGAGCTTTCTTTGCTGCTAAATGCTAGTCATTCAACTAAGGATTTGTGTGTTTCTTCCAATAGGTGAGGCTGCCAGCCATTAACTCAAAGAATCCAAGCAAAGTGGGGACCCCACTCGGCCCCAAAGACCCTTCAGGAAGTAGACTCTCCTTTCCTCCCATGTAAGTGCACGGCAGTGCCACGCTGTCCAGAAGGGGCTTGGGCCAACTTTTGGTCTTTTACCCAAGTGCCAGTTGTACATGTGACAGTAACTACATTCTGAGCAATTGGCAGCCCAATGATATTTGCTTACTAGCACTGTCTTGAGGATGTGAACTCGACATCACAATTTCCCACAGCTGAGCCTGCAAAACCCTCACCCAGCCTCTCTACCCCCTGCCCCCTGAAGCCATTTGCTTCCTTCTTGTCCACAGCCCTATGAGCATCTGCCCATCCCACATGGACATGGTACTCCCCTGGTGTTCTTTCCCCACAGGGCAGCCTCAGGCCCACTTCTGGGATCTCGTCCAACGGAGCTCATTTTGAGTGGCTTGCCTTTTAAACACAGGGCCAGTTGTCCCTGCACATGTTGGTGCTCAGTTCTGACATTTGATATCACTAACAGCTGGGCTGTGGGGTGAGGTGTGAGTGAGGGCTCCATGCTGCATTCAGCAGGCAAAATCTCTAGGTGCCCTGGCTGGTTCATCTTCTGGATACAGGGCAAGGACTCTGAGTTCTGTGTTTCTCCTCACGTTCCTTGAGGTAGCTGTGATGCTAGAGTTAATAATATTTAATTGCCTGACTGATTCTTCAGACAGTTTCATATCTAGCAGGGGAGAAATAGTCAGCAACACTACATGTGACAAGCACCAAGAGAATATTAGCTCACACTAGGAATCAGGGAAGAAGTGGGGGGAGAGAGACATCTGTTACATTTTCCTTTTTAGAGATCTATTTATTTATGCTTACAGAACTGGGGTACAGGCCATAAGTGTGGTAGGTGAGAGGATTCACCAGAGACAGAGTGGGGAGGAGAACAAGTAGATTGACAAAGTACGCTGCTGAGGGGAGCAGCAGGCAGGTTAGAAGAGGTCCGCCATGCCCTGTGGGTCAGCTCCCTGGCCAGGATCGAACTTGTGCAGCAGTGGCTTCGGAGAGCTTCATAATGTGGTGCTTTAAGCTGTTGCGCCACCAGTGAGAGCCCTCTGTTACATTTTTAAGGGACAATGCGTCTATTTTATCCATGTTCATCATCACTTATCTGAGTTATCAGTGTTTGATAATAGTTTTTCTCTTTTTGAGGCCTGGTCAGAAGAACAGTTCACCCACAAACTTTTCCAAACTTATTAGCAATGGCTACAAGGATGAGTGGTTACAGCAGCGAACTGACTCAGAAAAGCGGACCCCACAGACACCTAGAGCATCCACAATGTCCAGAACATCGGCTACCTCCAAAACGTCAACATCCACTCATTCCACCCGGGACCCAGAGGAGCAACTGGAAGAAGAGGCTGCCCCAGACTCAGAGGTTCCAGAAGGCTCTGAGAAAGTCCAGGGTAAAGTCACCCCACGATGCTCCCCTGAGGCTTTTGTTCACTGTGACAATAGTAGTCACTTTTTCTTATCTCTTAGCTCGTCCCTGCAGAACTAATTTCAGAAAAAAGCTTGTTCTTTGAAAAGCTCTCACCATTGAACTAGAAATCATTCTATCTTCAGCATTTCTTAAAATTTGTAATGAAATGAAAGTTTTAAGAAGTTTAGAAGTTTCCCTGTAAACTAGTTGTTCAAAAAAATATTAAGTTGGTCTTTTTCTTAAAAATATGTGTCACCTCACAGTTCGTATTAGTCTTGCTTTTTATGGGCACGTTCACCTCAAAGCCTAATTGAGTATTATGTTTAGTTCCTCTACTTCTAGTAACGTGTCACTGCACAGGGAGGAATACCGTCTGCGAAATGCTCTTTAGCAGGCTTAGTCCTATGTGAACATCATAGCATGTAACTTACACAGTCCTACACACCTACACTACAGAGTGTAGCTAACCTGTTGAGACTGCTGTAGTATATGTGGACCCTGCGATGACTAGAACATCACTAAGTGATGCTTGAAAATTGGCCATTTACCTGTACATAGCTTATTTTTCCTGCTGAGGCTTTATTTCTTTGATTAAACCATATTAAGACTCTTCATACATCTGAAGCATTGAATGTGATTTTTGTGTGTGCAGGATCTCTGCCTGCCTGGCCTGCTGAAGGGGTGTTGTCACCTCCATGCACTGGCACTATGGTGGGCTAGCCAGTCTGTTAGTGACAGACTCCTCTTTTTGTGATGAATAAGTAACAGGCTCATACTCAATATTGTTAAACCATGCTCTTTTTTGAGCTTGTGTCCTGTGAATTTAAGTAATCAAAAGTGCTGATTCTTTTAAAATTTGAACAACCAATGTGTCATTACATTGAACAACTGATGCACTTGTTCTTTATTACAGAGTCTTCTCCTCCAAGTGAGTATTCACAGAGAAACCAACTTGCATTCAAACAGGAAAAGTGTCATATACATAAAAAACTGCTGGGCAGAGTTCTTAAATGTGAAGTTGAAGCCTCTTGGTAGCCTGGGACATCCTTCTCCAAACCGCATGTATTCTGATCTGACTATTCTTTCAACAAATTGGAGTTCTAGAAGTACAGTTTGGGGGCTGCAAAAGGAGGAACATTTGCATTATTACAATATGTTGCTTTTATTTTAGTTTACATACTACACAAGACAAAACATTTTAGTTTAACCTAGTCACATACATTTCATTACACTCTCTATGAAAGACATGGGTTCAAATAATGGAGAAGTGACAGAGGACCTAGTTTGAAGTTAATACAAACAACCAGCACTGAGATGCACCTCTACAGGATGTTTTAGGATTTGTATTATTGTTTTTAATGCATGGTCTTCTATAGATAGAATTTATTTCACCACCAACAAAATATATGATCTATTGATAATACTATCATTTTATTAGTATACGTTTTAAACATTTTTTGCAAAATAAATCATTTCAAGTGTTATATAAGTTTAAATCAGCAGCAAGACCTGCTTACTCCTTTTAACCATTCAAAAGCAATGAAAGACAAAGGAAGAAGCAGAGTCACTGTAATCTGGGGAAACCAGCATTGATGGAGAGGACCTGCTTTCACGCATTTGTTGGGGGCTAAGGTGTCACTGAAGAAGGTTCCTGGCTCCTGCCCTCACCAGAACTTCTGGCCCCACAGCTCAGGTGGACACATGCTCTCCCTTCTGTTTCCGGATTCTTCTTCTGTCCATCTTAATTCTTAGCTTTAAAAGCGATAGCCAGTCCGAGCATGCCTTTTCTTTCCACGTGAAAGACTGTCCCTGAGGGCCTGTGCTAGTGGTCTGTACATCACCAGGGCTTCTTTCTTTCCCTCCACCAGACACAGTTTTTTTTTTTTTTAAGATTTATTTATTTATGCTTACAGAACTAGGGTACAGGTCAGAGGTTTGGCGGATGAGAGGATTCACCAGAGACAGAGTGGGGAGCAGAACAGGCAGATTGACAAAATACACTGCTGAGGGGAGCAGCGGGCGGGTCTGAAGAGGTCTGCCATGCCATGTGGGTCAGCTCCCTAGCTAGGGATCGCACTTGTGCGACAGTGACTTCAGAGAGCTTCAAAATGTGGTGCTTTAACCCGTTGCGCCACCAGGGAGAGCCCCAGGCACAGTTTTGTTTGAGTCTTTTTTTTTTTTTTTTTTTTTTTTAAAGATTTATTTATTTATTCGTACAGAACTGGGGTATAGGCCAGAGATGCCGTGGGTGAGAGGATTCACCAGAGACAGAGCGGGGAGCAGAACAGGCAGATTGACGAAGTACACTGCTGAGGGGAGCAGCGGGCGGGTCAGGAGAGGTCTGCCTCTCCATGTGGATCTCCTCCGGGGCAGGCGGGGATCGAACTCATGCGGAAGTGGCTTAAGCTTCTTTGTGCTGTGTTTTAACCCACTACACCACCAGGGGGGGCCCTTGTTTGAGTCTTAATTGCAATTTTGACAGCCATTGTCTGGCATTGGCATGCCCCCAAAAACCACTGTCTTTAGGTAACTAGCACAATGTTGTGATTTGAGAGAGCTGACATAAGTGAAAGTGTGTATAGGATTTGGTGTACAGGGTTAAGAGGCACACAGCAGCCTCTGGACCTAGGGGAATGTGTGGACTTAGTAGGTTGAATTCTCTCCTCTCCACTGCTCTTGCGAGGCTGTGCTCACCCTGCAAGTTCAGTTCAGTTCAGTTCAGTTCAGTTCAGTTCAGTTCAGTTCAGTTCAGTTCAGTTCAGTTCAGGATATTTACATCAGTAGAAGCTTCCAACATGTGCAGGCAGAGTTATGGATTAGCATGTCTCCAACTGACACTCCATTCTTGTCTAAAGACACAAGCTAAAGAGCAATGTATGATTTGTGCCCGCGGGTAGTCTTTGGGGTTAAATTTTTAGGTACATTTCAAGAATTGACCTTATAAACAGTTATAGAAATGTGAGTTTTTTAAATTTGAAATTAATAGGTTAAGGTGGTCAGGAGGAACACACTTCTAGTTATAAAATAAGTATGTCTTAGAGTTATAATCTGTGGCATATGATAACAGTAATGCTGTGTTGCACACTTTTTTATTGTTTCATTTATTTGTGCATACAAGTGCTGGGGTGAAGGCCAGATGTACAGGGTGTGAGAGGAATTCACCAGAGACACAGTGGGAAGCAGAATAAACAGATCTATTGAAATACACTGCTGAGGGGAGCAGCTGGTGAGAGAGAAGTCTGCTGTACCATGTGGGTCATTGCCCTGGCAAGGGATCAAACTTGCTGCAGTGGCTGCTGATAGCCTCATAGTGCTGAGACTTAACCCCGTGTATCACCAGGGAGGCCCACTGCATATTTGAAAATTGCTGAGAGATCTTAAAAATTCTCATCAAAAGAAAAAAAGAATCGTAACTATGTATCATGACTTATTGTGGCCATTTTACAATCAAATATACAAATTTCATTTCATTGGGTTTTATATCTGAAATTAATATAATGTTAACATGTCAACTATACCTCAATTAAATACATTAAAAGTAAATAGCTTAAATATTCTAACTTATAAAAGCTGTCTACTTTATCATCTTTTACCTCTTTACTCATGTATTTATTTTACATTGCAGGTACTCCAGCAACTTCATCTGCATCAACACCAGCAGAACTCAAATAAACCCCAATGGAATTGCCCTTAGGATCATTTTCTAATGGTTAAATATCATCTATGTTACAGCTATATTTACAGGGGTCCTATTATAGTTTTTAATACAGATTCTTAAGAATTAACTAATCTTATAGCAGACTTGACACCATTGTTGCCTAGATGGTAAAACTAGGGTTTTTTTCTCTCACATTTCTCTGAGATGCTAAGCATGTGGGCTTGGGGATGCTTTGCCTCGCTAGCCTGGGATGTGCAGGTGGCTCGGGACCAACCACTTCCTCCCTACGGCCATCTTCCTCCACTGTGTGGCCTGTTGGTGGCATTTGTATTGAAATTGATGATTTTGATACTTTACTAAAGCAGCTAACAAAACAAGCTTTTTAGCTTTTGCCATTATTTGGTCCTGTAATCTTTGTAGAAATAATTTTTGTTACAAAAAATTAATTCCAGAATATGGTGATAGAGTTTATATTAAGAAATATAATTTATTATGTCTTAAAGTTTTAAACATTATAAAAACATTGTAGCACTGTTAGCTTAAATTCTTTGCTAACACTTTTTCTTATAAATTGAAGTTCATAATATTAAAAATTTATTATTTTGTATCTTTCAGTAAACATGTTTTATATTTAATTTAGTAGTCTTACAAAAATATTTTAATAATCAGACAGAATTAACTGGGTTTATACATTTTGTTACTGTTTATATGTAAGTAACTTGCCTCAAAATGTAGTTTTATATTTGTACATTTAATTCATTAATAAAATAATTTTCTGCTAAAAGATTTTTCAGAAAGCCAAATAAGGTCACAGATATTTTAGCATCTTTTCCAGAATCTACCTATCATGCACTTGCTCACCTAAAACTTAGCAGCTTTAAATTAGTTCTTTAAATGAGATACTTGATTTAGCACATATAGCTGTATTGTTGGATCAAAACCAATATTACTAGGGGAGAATGTATGTGGTATGAAAATAAAAGGTAAATGGCTGTATGTATTGAATAAAAGGACTATCTCATTATAGTAAGAAGTGTATTTTTTTCCTTCTTTTTTCCCTTCCCTCCTCTACTTTAATTCCTACTTCATTCTAAAACACTCACTGCAATTCAAAAAAAAAAAAAAGTATAAAAGAGTTATATACCAAATGAGTGAGATTTATGTTAGGCTTGTAAGCCGATTTCAACATTTGAAACTAAATTAATAAAATTTATCATATATACTGGCTAAAGAGAGAAAAATAATCCTGTCATTTGATGTAGAAGTTATTTGAGAAAATTCTGCACCTACTCATGATTAATACTCTCAGCAAACTAGGACTAGAGGAGATCTTATTTAACTTGATAAAGAATATCTATAAAAACCTGCAGTTACCATCATATTCAATGAGACAATAGAAGCTTTCCTGCTAAGATCAGGAGAAGTGCAAAATGTTACACCTCACCTCTCTTATTCATTACTCTGGAAGTCCTACCTAAGACAATAAGAAAATAAAGGGAACTAGAAGGCAACTAGATTAAGAAGGAAGAAATAATGCTGTTTTTGTTCCACTGATATGACTGTGTAGCAATCTGATAAACCACAATCATATGACCTAGTAAGTTGCTACAAAGTAACTCATGATTACATCCAACATCTAGGAGTTACACTGAATTGGTGTGATCTGACCAATTGGTGTGCCCTCACCCAGACTCCTAAAATCAGTCTCCCAATTTTCTGAAATTTAGTGTCTGTTTTTATGTATAGTTACTGCTCGGGATGACAGTCAAAAGAATGTGACCAGTGAGTTGATCCATGAGCCAGACCTGAGAATCAGAAGCTTCTCACCCCCACATGCTGGGATGTGCTATTTAGCTTTGGAATCACTGAAGATATTATTTCCCAGATCAACTAATTGTCATCTCTCCATTCGAAATTTACAGATCCAATTCATCTACACAGGCTTTCTCTTATTTAGGTTCCTGTTGTTGCATCTTCTCAAAAATGGTGATAACAAAAATCTGCACATCAACAGAAACTGACAGTTGTGAGTATATTTGGACATGAAAACACCATGAAGAAACTATGGGAGTTTGGGGGAGGACTGATAATTCTTTTCATTCCCGGTTAAAAAGGATAGAGTTTATTTGCAATGTGGTAATGGCATCTTATTTACCCACTCAGCACAATGGGCATATACAGCTGTATGAGCAGGGTTCTGTTGTACTGGACCAGATAATGAACTGGAATTTGCACAGCTCACCACAATTAAAAAAAAAAATGGAAAAATGTTAAGTCACAAGGCTGAGATAGATCTGAGGTCTTCAAATTCCCAGGTGTGTTTCTATAACAGACATAGCTTGCAGTTGTCTCTTGTCACTGTTTTAGGAGCCTCTCATCTAGCTAATTAGTTTTGTTTATGATGTCACTCTAGGCTAAATCAAATCCTGCTTAACAACTGGAGAACTGCAGGAGTAAAACCAAATCTCTAACTTTCAAACCAAACCTTCAAAATGATCACCTACTATACCAAACAAAAAATATTAAGGACTTCCCTGGGTTAAATAGAAAAACAAAGAGAAACACAGCGCAGAAAACACTAAATAAATGTTAAATTTCAAATCACAAATGAAAAAAACCCATCAGCATCAAGCTGTTCACTACATGTTTTTTTCCAGGCTCCTTGGGATCTAACATAATTTGTGCAGCCAAGTCTTAAGGAAATGAGCTATTTCCTGAGGCTGATTCTAGGCTTGCACATCTTTGACGCTAGAGTAAGTGGGCAGACCCTCACTTCCAAGTGGTGTCCGTAAGGTGGTTAGTATTACAGGTCACCTTGGTTGGACCATTATGTCAAGCTGTTTGGCCAAACACCACCCAAGTGTTGCCTTGAAGGGTTTTATTTTCCCTCTGTACATGTGGTTAATATCTATTATCAGTGAGTAGAGCTGCTTTATTTGGATTATGTGGGTGGAACTCACCTGATCAAGTGATGAAAGCCTGAAGAGCAAACCCTGAAGTTTTGGGAAAGAAGGAATTCAGTATCAGGTTATAATAGAGAAATCCTGCCTGAGTTTCCCACCTGCTGCAGGGGTGGTGTGATATTGTGACTTACAAGAAAGATGTATATTTGGTATCTGTCTACAGTTCCTGGCTCACAGCTTCCAAATTTTTATTTTTATTTTTATTTTTTTTAAGATTTATTTATTTATGTTTACTTACAGAACTGCAGTACAGGCCAGAGGTGCAGGGGCGGTGAGAGGATTCACCAGAGACAGTGTGGAGCAGAACAGGCAGATTGACAAAGTATACTGTGGAGGGGAGCAGCGGGCGAGTCAAGGGAGGTCTGCCACGCCATGTGGGTCACCTCTGGGGTGGGGGATTGAACGAACTAGTGCTGCAGTGGCTTCTGAGAGCTTCATAATGTGGTGCTTTAACCTGTTGCATCACCAGGGAGAGCCCCCAAATTTTGTTTTTTTGAGCTACTTCAGCAATGGGAGCATCTTTGGTCTTATAGTTCTCCACCCCCTTGGTAATTTCCTGAGTAATAAGAGCAGTGAGGTCATCTATTGTAATTATCCTCTTGTTCTCAGTTACCGAGAAATTTAAATAGGTGCCTTTCATTGTTTTCTTTAAGATCAAAAACTTAGTTTTCAAGGAAATGCAAGATGCATAAGTTAAAAAATAAATACAAAATAAAACACATCTTTCAGTCTAGAAATTCCTAGATATCATTTTCTGCAGAGTAATAAAGAGACCTGGAGCAAGGAAGCCCCAGGAATGGGCCACTTATCCTTGGACGCTGCATTTTTTTTTGTGATGATGAGAACAATTTTTAAACCCATATTAAAAATACAAAAAACATGAAAATTGTTTAGCACTACCATTTTTTTGTTTATTTATTTAAATTTATTTATTTATATATGCATTACATCATTGTTCCACAGCTCATGGATTGAGAGAATTAAGATTGTTAAAATGGTCATTCTACCAAGAGCAATCTACAGATTCACTGCTATTCCAGTAAAAATCTCAATGACATCTTCAAAGAAATAGAACAAATATTGATGAAATTCATATGGAGTCACAAAAAACATGCAAATAGCCAAAGTCCAACTAAAAATCAAAGGAGAATGGAGGCATCACACTTCAGACTATACTACAAAGCCATATAATGTGTGTTACTAGAACAAAACACACACACAACACAGACACACACACACACAGATCAGTTGAACTGAATAGAAAGCCCCAAAATAAAGCCACATATATATGGATAATTAATTTTTTCAAAGGAATAAAGAATACGCAATGGAACAAGGACAGTTTGTTCCATAAATGGTGTTAGCACTACCATTTATTATAGAAGCTTTTTGTAATCAAATGGATTATATTGAATTCAATGTCCTTTTCTTCAGTTTCTCTGAATGAGGGAGAACAGCCTTCTAACCAACTCATAACTGGGAGGGGTTGAGTGGACACTATAAGGAATTCCCCAAAGTTTTGGAGCCCAGAGACATCCAGTAATTCACATCAACCATTCAGTCCACATACTCATGTTTCAAGGAATTTCTATTCACATCTGACCTCTCGAAGTCACCTACTTACAGACCTCTTAGAAAAAGTGAAACCAGGTGAAACTATGTGCCACCTAGGGACTCAAAACTGTTAAGGGAAGAAAGGAGAAATGTCGTAAGCATCCCATTCTAAGCATCTGGCCAGGGGGATGCACAAAGATAACGAAAGTAGAAACTTAAAGTGCTCTAAGATCTTTAATTGGAGAGACGTTCAACGGGAACAGAGAGAGAAAAGGAGTAGGGGAGAGACTCCTGATCAAATTCTGAAAATCATCCACTGCTCAGGGGTAAACAGCTAATTAAACAAGATCAGTCTGAAGTGGGGTAGCTGAGGCTCAAAAGCATTCCAGGAGCCCAAAGCCCTTCCAGGCAGGAACTAATGAACTGTAATTTGGGCAAGACCCTGTGGGATTCAGGAGGGGAGAGACCCCCTAATTCACCATGTGACATTCAGACTGAATAATACAACTCATTCATGATGGTTGCC